TTTGGTTCAAAACTAATAGAGCTTTTCTTAGTATATTCACGAGATTTTTAGTTAATTTAGTATGTCTCACGATAGTTATTATAAAAATACAATCATTTTTGTCAAAATTCAGTTTACTTTACTAGCTGTCATGATTCTGATGATTTAAAAAAACATCACAATATTACGCCTTTTATCCCCGAAGGGGTAGGCAGAGGTGTACATTGCCACTGTACAATGTGCTACTCACTTTTCACTATTTATGTTATGAGTCCCATGTAATAAATAGGTGGTGAGCCTATTAAAAAATAATGTAAAGCTTATTTTGATAATGTTTTATTTCTTTCCATTCCGATTAACTTGTTTATTTTATATTAAACCTACTTGGAGACAAGTGACCTACATCAATGAAGGATTTGCCTTCAACATTCCATCAGCTGTTAATGACTTTATAAATACATATGTACGTTTGCATACATACGTATTACATACAAATTGACAGACCTGTACAATACGTATAGTTACAGCTTCTAAAAATCTGACAACAGATATAGCGAATGTATGGATATCATATTGATATGAATGTAGTGACTGGTATCATGAATATGAGCCTCTAGCTTGGCTTGAAACTAGTTGAGGGCCTCGTCGAAAAGTTACGCGAGGAAGTCGGAGACATAATGTTTAATTAAAAATGTATTGATTAGTTGGCTGTGGACGGCAGATGGTAGTGACTTTTATTTAAGATCTCCTCCTTTTTGGGAAGTTGGTTTAGAATAGATCCTGACATTCAGACAAATCTGGTTATTTCCAGCCCTCAACAAATTGAGAACAAGATGGAAGACCATAAAACATGTAACGTCTTTATAATTCTCATGTAAATATTCAATTAATGCAATCTTGTTTATATTAAAAAATTTGTGACATATACTTCATTAATGATTATGTTTTCATCTTCCTCACGTAACTATTTGACGAGGAACTCGACTACTTTTAAGCCATGCTAGAGGCTCATATTCATGCGTTGCGCTGCTACTAAAACTAGTCGAATTCCTCGACAAACAGTTACATGAATAAGCCGAAAACGTAATAACAAATTCAATCCTTTCACCAAGTACTATATATGATCTACAAAATGTTCAAAGTCACTGACCCATCCTACGTATCAGATAAGCTTACAAACTTAAGATAAGCAGCAGTCTCAGTGAGTGATCTCACTGTGAGACTGATTTCAAAATGGCTGCACAATTTACTTCTAATTTTCAAGCTATGTAGACTGAGACAGGTTAACCTAACTGTCGTTACATTGTGTTTAAATAATGGTTACTTGGTAGACGAGACTGCTGCTTTGGTCTAGTGGTCGTAGTGCGACTGCTCGCGCGCGTCTCATAGAACCATCAAACCACCACGTATGGGGCCCAACAGGGCTGATGCTGATTCGGGGTCGCGGAGAACCTAACGGGTAACCGGGGCTCCGACTCGACGTGCAGGAGAAGGAACGGGGTGGTTTTTAGTCAGTAAGAGTCTGACACTCCCTCCCGCCTCACCCAGGCGGGAGCAGTCATTCGATGATTTTCCCCCTTAAAAAAAAAAAATAAAAAACGGGTTACCGGGGCTCCGACTCGAAGCGCAGGAGAAGGAACAGGGTGGTCTTTAGTCAGTAAGAGTCTGACACTCCCTCCCGCCTCACCCGGGCGGGAGCAGTCATTCGATGATTTTACCTCCTTAAAAAAAAAGGTGCGACTGCTCAGCAAAGATTCTCAGACTCTTTGCCACTGTCCAACGCCCACTTTTTACTATTTATGTTATGAGTCCCATGTAATAGGGGGTGAGCCTATTACCATATGCCGGGCACAGTTCCAGGCTCCGTACTACATTTGCCATTTATATTATAATAAAATCACTTATAGGTACTTTACCCGAACCGTGAATTGGACCCGAGATCTGTTGCCCGGTAATAACACGGATACTGAAATTGTGTCCGGTGTAAGGAGATTGATTCACTTTCTTTTCCATGGGACTTTAGGGGACTCATAACTTTGAGGATTTAAACGAAGTCTTATACTTAAAATAATATTTTCTTTGTCCTATCTTTATAGATACAACCTCTAGCCGCACTTTGCCATTCATAAACTTTAATTAATTCTGCACCAACCACATCCAACTGATTTAAGTATTACACTATCAATAAGGAATGCTGTCTAAAGGCCATCGAGTATAAATACAAGTATACAACAAACTTGTTATTCAAGTTTCGACCTTATGAACAGAGGCGAGTCATTTCGAATACTATGTGTTACCTACTTTCTTCTGTTAATCATTTCTGTAAAGGAAATTAATTTTATTTTAAGACTTGATTTCGGCAAAGATTACAGGACTGTGTCGTGTTTTGGTTGGAATTTTATTTTTAATGTGGTCTCCCTAAATAGTTATTTTTCTCAGTACTTTGGCAGATGTTCATTTATATAATACTAAGTATATAGTAAGTAACTAGTAGTAAATTATGTAACTAGAGAATTGTATTGTGAAACTGATTGAAAAAGAGTAACCTATGGAGTTTCTTGCTCGTTCCTCTTCATAGGAATCTACACCTTGGAATGAGCAAACAGTTTCACTTTTATTTCTTTGTTGACGTTCAAAAGTGCCTTTCTGGTCTAATTGAAATAAACGATTTTGACTTTAACTTTGAGTAAATACTGTAAAGTAAAGCCACGACATAAAAATAAAGTTTCAAATCTATTAAAACTTAATCTATATCGCTGCTTACCCTCTTCATGTATATGCTACATTATGAACGAATTTCGGAAAGTAATTGAGGTATAAGCTACCCACATCCGGTGTTTTCAATGTCATTACAGCAATTTCAGATTAACCATGGCAATAAAAAACTAACATGGCCGACAAATTCAAGTAAAAACACACAAATAATACTAATAAACCTTGATTCGTTTGATTTTAGGAAATATCCGTCAATTGAGTTTTTAGGGAAATAATTAATAACAGACTATAACTTGATATCATGGTATATTACTCCAATTAGCACTCTAATTTAGAGAAGCGTAGTTACCGGAGCCCCAATTACCCTGGAATCCTCAAAATCCTAATCCAAAAGAGGCTTGCTTACCATCAGGTGATCCATCTGCTCGTTTACCGGATTTATCCCATAAAAAATAAAAGGCCTTTACTCGGTTAAGTATAAGTCAAATATGAGAAGACACTTAATTATCGAAGTTATTGGTATTGTCACCACGATTCCGTCCACTACAGGACCCTTACAGCCAATATCACGTCACTACAGAGTTCAATCTTCTGATCTTCACAGGTTGTCTGCGATTTACTCTTACAACAGTCCTCAGCTATATAGAAGATGAACTTAAAAGTTCGCGTTAAACTGCACATGAGACTCGACTATTTCTTCTGATTTTTAAAAGGGTTCAGACTAACACATCACTTCCCACGGAATATTACTTATATACTCTACATAGATTACTAATTCAGTAGGTACATCATCTTTCGCATTCACTATCACAAGATCAATGAAGCTTTTAAAGCAAAATTAAATATTAAGAGGCAACTCATAACCTGCGCCGGCGCAGGTGAAAGCGTACGCCTATTATGTCCATCTGTATATCGCCTTAGGCCTTAAGAGTACAATCGGTATAATGAGTTAAACTGTAGGATTAGTAGTCCATAGAAAGATGGATTCTTTAATAAAATAGGGCAAGAAATACTACTAGTTTCTAGCAAAAAGTTACACATGCATCATCATGTACAAAATCAGTAAACATAAAGTTCAAAAAATCAAAAACAAAATATCTACGAGCATACTAATACTCGTACATATTTATAATAATGTCAGGACAATAAACTCCAGAAGCGCCATCTACGCATCGCAAAATTATACTTGACAATTATTCACCTGGTTTGATTTGTCAAAATAGGGATAAGACATATACATATAAAGGTGGAAAGCCTTATATATGAACAATGAATGATTCATATAGAAATGTTTGTATTCGTGATGTGAATTTCTAATGAAGTGAAGATAAACATACATAAGTACTTAAGGTAGGTACTTGATGCTCAAACCATGTGCCGGAGTGTCTCGTAGTGACTGCACTATGTTTGCAGTAGGTAGTTTGTCCACTGGAGTTTATCCAAAATATTTAAAATGGACATAGAAGTAAAATTCTGATATAATAAATTTTTGTCATACTTGACGAAGAGAGATAATTAATATTATATTTGCTAATTAATGATTGTAGATTGAACTTGTGATACTGTGGTCTTTAAATGGTATCACATTTTTGCACTTATATTAATAAGACAAAATTAAGTACAGAGTGTAAACGGAACGTTTTATGTTACTTACTTTACAGTTATGTTTTTAGTTGAATAATTTTAAGTCAATTTTTTCGATCCCTATTTACATTTTAATCATAATAAATCAATCATAAACTTTTTGAACATAAAGAAATAATAATCATGTTTTAGTAAAACGTCAAAATATCAATATGGCGTCGCGTCGCTGTCAAGAAAAGAAAAATACTCAACTTCATCGCAAACAAATTAAATCAACTTAATCAGTAAAATCTTTTGTATTTTAATGGAGTTTAAAAATTCAAATGTCACTAAAGTCAAGGCTAATAATATCCGCCGAATGTATGAAATAGAAATTAGCATAGTCTATGTAAGTAATGGCATATACACGGCGATTTTTATCTGATTTATTTGCATAGTCTGTAGAATATAATTTTTATCAAAACATGAATGTATATTCAGACGCTGATTCTAATCTTCACTTTGATGTTTAAATATAGTGTCAAATAGATTAATTAATAAGTACAATACTTTTTCCGTGTAATTTTGATATTTTTATCATAATGTCGTCATGATATTTAGTAAGGTTATTTCCTGAAGAAATTAGGCATATAAATAAGTTACAGTGCATTTTCCTGTTATATTATATTTTATCATAATTTATTTGTGCATCTATTCTAAAAATGTTTTTCTTTCATTTTCAGATCAGGCGTTAATTCCAGTTTATTATGTAAGTACCTATAGTCACAGTTTAATTTAACACAAAACATTATTATTTTACTGAAAAATTATTATGTCAAAAACTTTTTGCGTTGCCTAGATGGCGCTTCTAACATTAATAGTCCTGTCAGTCCATTATGATCACACAAAATACGATAATTTGTCTATTGTCAGGTGTCCTTTATTAAGTGTCCAAATAGGTAATGTAACGTTTAATTCCTAAGTGAATACTTAGTGTCTAGTAGTTAAGTTGAATGGCCTGACTGTGGCGATACTATCGAGGAACTCGAGGACATGTCACGTTGTACATGTAACATGTAACAACTTGTTGAATGCGGATGTCTAGTTCTAACACCAACATACTTAGCACATTGGTGATTGAATAAGTGATTTAGTGTTTATTTTATGGAATAGGTAAAATGTAGACAGGTGATGGTAATAAATATGTTTCATTTTAATAAAAGTAAGGAAACGTTGTCAAACGTCAGCCCATCAAATATTTTTTAAAAAAGGAGTTAAAATGTTTTCTATGTGAAATAATAGGTTAAGTTTTAATGTATAATGAATAACACGAAAACAAAGACGATTGAAATTGAAAAAACATTTTAGTTTTGTCAGCATTTTGGGAGAGTTTGACTGTACGGTTGGCGCGGTACCTGGGCAACTGGCTGACGCGCAAAGTGTCGTGGGTTCAATTTCCGCACGGAACAACTCTTTGTGTGATCCACAGATTGTTGTTCCGGGTCTGGGTGTCATGTGTATATGATATTGTATGTTTGTAAACGCACCCACGACACAGGAGAAAATTCTAGGACAAAGTTTATAAGAAGAAAAAGTAGTTCCGTTTGCACCATGTATGTGTTACAAAGTTCCGATACCTTTGTTAATATTTTTTCCAACTAGTTTTTCTCAGAACCAGTCTATGTCTACTCCAATCTCTTAATTATGTTCAAAAATAAAAACATGATATAAAATAGCTCTATTGCAACTTTTACTTTTTCATATTTATTATTATTTAATAAGGATTAGGTAAGTAGGTGAGGATAATTTACTATGTAGGTTTTCAAGTAAAATATTATTCAATGGCTTAGTTTTGACGAGAAAAGGCCAACAAAACTACATGCGCGTTTACAATATTTGTATGGAAAATATGAAATTATACATCATGCCTATTATCTCCGAAGGGGTAGGCAGAGGTGTACATTGTTACAATGCACCACCCACTTTTCACTATTTATGTTATGAGTCCCATGTAATAGGGGGTGAGCCTATTGCCATTTACCTGGCACAATTCCAGACTCCGTGCTAATACTGAGATTTTTTTTAAAACCCAGTAATACTTTGCCCGACCCGGGAAGAGAACCCGAGACCCCTTGCTCGACAGTCGCACTTGCGACCACTCAGCCAACGAGGCAGTATGAAATTATATTATATTCATATTCATATTCTCATAAACATCACGATTGCGATGCAATCTCATTGAGATTGGAATTCAATATTTTGCGTCATTTTAATCGACTTTCATCTCTTTTTATTGAATAAGCTGAGACCATAACATTAAAATATTATGTTCCCATTAAAATGCAATTTCTTCGGAAAGTTTTGATTTTTATTGGTCTAAAGTAATTTAGAATGACGCAATCTAATAAAATTATTGATTAGATATATTAATTTCGATCTTGTAGTTTTATTATTTTTTTTCATGGCGATTTTTTGGCCTGTTCTAGATTACATAAAAGAACACCCCTCTTTAGAGATAATAATATTACGTTTGTAACGTTAAGATGTACACTTATCCATTTAACTATGTAATAGTCAAAGAACTGCACACCTATATTTATGATGGCCATTAAAAACACGGAAAAAAAAGAAATTAGTTTCGCGCGCACATGGCAATAAAGAAAAAAGTAAACATAGAGAGCAAGGCTGTACAGACATTAGACCATTGACAATAGGTATGTTATTGAAAAAAAAATGCCAAGTAACCATAAACGGTTCCCACACAAATTATTATTATATCACCACACACTGCAAATACAGAGTTACGTTCGAAAACGTGTGAAACATAAATTCGTGAAAGCTGACCGGCCAAAGAGTTTCAAGCAAATAGTTTTATGTACACGTAAAGCTTTACTTTCATTTCCTGACGTTGCAAACTCGTGTTTTGGCGCGCATTTTGACAGCTGTCAAATTAAACGTCATCATTAGAATTAATGACATCAATTATATTGTTGTTTATAGCGTGATATTCAGCAATATGATTAATTATAGCAAGGATGTAGTTGCTAGTCCTGTTTTCATTGACTTCAAGGAAGAAAACTGAGGATTTTAAACGTTAAAATCCAACAAATATTCAATAATAATTTACGTTTGCATAACTTCGCAAACGAGTTCTTTATAAGAAAATGTGTCAGTGGTCATTAAGTATAAATGTCACTCTATATTTTTAAGTGATTCAATCGTAAATATTACAATATTTATTAGAAAATAAAACTGTTTTAATGTCGCTGACATACCTTATTAAAACGTTGAACTGATTAATTTGTAAATTAAGTTTATTTCTGAATATTTTGTCAAACTGCTTCAAAACAAAATGGCTGCTCACAAGGCCTCGAGTGGAATTGGTTGAATAGACTAGGTAGTAAGTGGAAATTTTACATTTTTTGAAAGTAAAGAAACTTTTTTCAATATTTATTCATACTCAAGGCTATAGGCTTCAGTATGAAAAACAGAATAAATTAATAAATAAGTGTACCTTTATCTAGTCTTCTAAGAAGTTTAATGTGCGTTAAGTAAAAACGCGGGTTACTCACGTGAATATACTGAGAAAAGCTCTACTAGTTGCTGCTGCAGCTCACTGAGCTGCGCGACGTCGCCGCGACCGCGCACGCTGCTCATGAGGAAGAACCCCTCTGTGGTTCGAAACTAGTAGAGCTTTTCTCAGTATATTTACGTGAGTAACCCGCGTTTTTACTTAATTTAGTATGTCTCACGATAGTTATTTAATGTGCGTTGTCTGCATATCTTAAATCAAATTCAAGTCTATAATAATTATGAGCAATTACCGAAACAAAAACAATTATCAAACGTTTTGCAACAATTTATCAAAACATAAATCTATAAATGTTCCCACGTTAAGCCCATATTCAAGTTAAAATTTAACCTAAATATTGTAAGAACTATCTTACGAAATAACTACGGTTTATTGACAACGTTAATTGCCCACCTGTTATAAAAATGTCAAGTGTGAGAGAGCCATGCTTCGGCACGAATGGGCCGGCTCGACCGGAGTGATACCACGGCCGAGCAGAAAACCGACGTGAAACGAAACTTGCGTTGTGTTTCGCCTAGTGAGTGAAGTTACTGGAGACCGAATTACCCTCACCCTAATCTTTTCAATCCCTGAATTAGAAACCCCCGTTCTTCAAATTTCTACCTCCTAAAAGGCTGGCAATATACTTGTAACTCCTTTGGTGTTTTGGACGTCCTTGGGCGGCGCCGATTGCTTACCATCAGGTGATCCGTCTGCTCGTTTACCGACATAAGCCATTAAAAATTAAAACTAGTTAAACTTGAACCTAAGTATTAGCAGTTAATTTCTTAGTACTATAATGATCATACTTTGTCCTTGATAACCATGATTCATGATGATATAGATTAAAGATGTATGTAAACAGATTTCGTTATCTGTGGAGATTATTTTATGTGTATAGTCTGTGGTGTATGCAACGGTAATGGCCTTTGATATAAGGCGAGGTTAAAATAATATGAAAAGAAATCTATGTTTAGAAAGGTACGTAAAATTCCCTATACAGAACTTATAACAAATGTTGGAACAAGAGTATATTTTTGGCTAACTCTTTGAAAATGTGTCATTATTTTATACTACCGACCAATTAGAAACAGAAAAGCAATTTATTTCGAGATCCTACGTTCTAAATGGAATGTGTTCAATTGTTCATGTTTCGATTATTTACGGTTTATTGTTTTAATTAACTTGATTGTTCATTTTATAACGAATAGAAAACTCAAAGACTTCGTCAAAAGAAATCACAGGAGCTACTTTTGTTTATAAAAAAAACAAAACACTATTCTCATAAACAATGAAACTAAACGTCAGCAGCATTCCACAGATAAAACAAAAACCCTAGTCAGTCACACAGCATACAACTCTCAAAGAAAAAAAACTAGCAACAAACAAATGACAGGCGATTATTTTTTTAATTACATACTGGCAAAGGACAATAAACGTCAAACGACTACAACAGATTATAAAGACAAGATTAATGACAGAAACACTGCTATCGTGATAAGCAAAGAGGTTTAATGTAAATGCATTTAATCTAGATTTACAGTTTACCTACTTTACTTCATGTTATTACTTAGTGCTTATCTCTTCCTCGACAGTTAACGTACGTTTAATATAACTAGATTGTTATAGTTGATTAAACTTTATATTTTACTTGACATACATTTTAAGTATTTTAATAAAATAATTCCTTATAAATAGACGCTTATTACGTATTCTATGAAAGTATTTTAAGTGGTTAGTATTTTTAGGGGTCCCTAAAGAAAACCTTAATAACGTTTTCAACATAATTAGTTGTATCTTTATTGGTTTTCATCATCAACCCAACGACTGCCAAATAGTCCGGTTCGAAGCGATCTGCATAAAGCGAAATTGTGTACCTATTTCTGAAATTAAAAAAAAACAATAAACTTTACCTGACTCAAATCGAAATCTTAATCATTCGATTAATCGAATCAACTATTAAAATTGGCCCAGTATCACAAAACATTTCTACATCCTTTAAACTGTCAAACACCAAGCGGTCACCGGTGACCGCAACCTATTGTTCTATAATTGTGTCTATAATAACGGTACTCGACGAGTTAAACGTCTATAATGAAAATAACACAACATACGTGGGTCACATACAAAGCAACGTTTCACACTTGACAGGAATTAAAACAGAAAGTTCCATTACAGAGCGATCAATATTCAATGAA